AAGGACTGGAGTTGGGGAGAGAGATGGAAGGGGGTTATTATTACTTGTTAGAGAAAAAAAAAAAACAAAAAAGAATAAGGCCCTGTTTGGTTCACAAGAATAGGGGTCTACATTGAAATTTCATTCCCATTCTCGCTGGATTGGCATTCCCCCATTTGACAGAATGGTCATTCCTGCCCCTCCATTGGAAATAAAATCTTATTCCTGTTAATTCCAATTCACATCCCCATTCATGTCTGAACCAGACTATGGGAATAGATCATTCCAATTCTGAATTTCCAATTCCAATTGTGGACCAAATGGACCCTAAATTTTAGAGGGGATCTAGTAGAGAAAAAAGGGCTTCTAACATTTGGTTTGAAGAATAAAGCACATATGCAACCCAATCGGGTTTGACTATGATAATGGAAAATATATGATATCCGAAAAACAACTGACCAATAAATTACAATATTAAACATAGTAATAAGGTGTTATTTATCAAAATTAATGGATGGGTTTTGATTGGTCAAAACTCTTTTCATACCATATCTTTTTCGCATCATATTGTTTTGAGAAACAATATGTTTTCAAACCACATGATCCTGATATATTTTTTGGATATGGGCAACTCACAACAAGAAAAACAATTCAATTTTATTTGCACTAGTACAAGTGCATAACAGTACAAATGAAAAAAAATGCAAATTCTTATTTAATTCTGTTTTGGGTTTAACTTAATTTACTTCATTTGTATTACAATCAAACAAAATAAGCTAAAATTTGAAACAAAAATAGGTAAAATTATATATTCAAATCATTTGTGCCATTGCACTTCCATGGTTTTGCATCAGTACAAATTAATTTGCATCAGGCTAAATTCCGAAAGAGTACAAATATAAATACACAAGGTTTTGAATTCTACATACTATATTTGTATTACTTCCACTTTAATGATTTTTTGTTGAATTTCGGGCAAATAGGCAACGGTAAGGTTTTGCACTCTAAAATCAAATTTTTATCTGTATTTCAAGACACATTAGGTGACAAAGGCATTTATCTCCACAAGAAACAAAAAAAAAAAAAAGCTATTTTCTGAAAAAAACTCGCACATAAATTGAGTAAAAAAGTTAACAAGATCTTCCCAGAAATGGCAAAAAACGTATCAACCAAATAAGAAGCTAATTCTCCATTGCAAAAAAAAAAAAAAAAGGCCTTAGGCAAAGGTGCCGAACACCTAAGAAACTCACATGCAACCATCATTTTTGGGAATGTTTTACCGAGCTCAAGTGCTCAACCGTGCAATGGTGATACAAGATTTGCGTTGTAAACTAAAACCCGATGATCTGGACTTTGGGTTAAGGCCTTTATTTGGTAAAGGATACATAAACGAGAAGAAACCGAAAAAATTACAGCATAGAAAAATCCAACAGAGATCAGCAGAACAAAAAAGAAAACAAGTAAAGATTACATCTACAAGAACGACTATCACTACTTAGCTAAACTAGATGCATAACTGAAAGCGTTCAAATCATGATTGACACTGTCAACCGGCGAGCCGCACCCTCCATTTCTTTGTAAAGCTGAATTGGAAATTCAAACCTTCGAGAAGATGCAGAATACCGTTGAGAACAAAACCGATCATCTTTATACATTTACCTTCCTCGTTATCATTAGGGCTGACAAAAGTTACAGGCAGTCACATTTAAGAACAGCAGCATTTCTTTTGGGTAGAAAGAACAGCATCATTTAGGCCTAACTTCCTAATCAAAAGGACACCCACCTTCATTGCCATGGTTGCAGAAACCATAGCTGCTATGCATGAATGCTGCCAGTCCTGAACAACCATCCCTAAGAAATGCTGATCCTGGTTGTGCAATACTAACAAAAGGCTTCATGACCGTCATTTGAAGTTTTGAACAGCAGCTTTTCAACTTTTCATCATCTCCTGCAGCATCCTGGAAACATAGACTAACAAAAGCAAGGGTTTGGATTAGTAAAAACAAGTCATTTCGAGCTTTCTTGCGATAGTATGATAACCGTTATAGATAACTCTTTTTTTTGAACATCCACTCATGACTCACCCATTCACTAAACATATCCGCAAAAGGTATGAACAGGTTGACATATTCAACTGCAACCGAACCTGTTACTAAACCAAGCATTCCACCTATGGTCACATCAGCAGATAGCATGCAAAATAGTTTCCAGCTCAGTCTTGCACAATTGACAAAGATGGTAAGTCATAATTCCCCTCTTGGCCAGGTTGAACCTAACAGCAAGAACATTGTTGCAGGATTAGGGCTTGTTGAGTTGAATTGTACTGAGCTCATACCATTTGCAACTATCTAAGTGTAAGGAATTCTTGTTAGCTAAACTTGTGATCACAGATTTGTACCTGTCCACCAATAGCTGGTTGGGTGCATGGCATCTTTTATCAATATGGCATGGATGATAAGACCTTCCACATACCATAGCCATGAAGGCAGTAAGAAATGCTAATACTACTATCAGAATTGGAGAGGTACTCTCACCTTTGCTTTTACATGGTGCGATTACTGAACCACAATGATGTTAAAAGACGTATAGACTCTTGACATACAACTCTAATCCTACTAGCAAGAGTATAATTAGCATCCCTTGGAGGCAATAGGTGAAATTTGAATATTACGTAGAAACCAACAAGTTTGTTTCACTTGCATCTGGCCAACCTCAAATAGTTGGTATGAAGGCCTTGTTAAGTTCAATTGATACCTAATCTTTTTCTGCAAAACTTAAAATACATCACCATGCAGCCACATAAGAACACACTTGCATGCAAAGGTTTCCAGTTGAAGACAGGCAATTGATTCAGTTAACAATAAAAGCCTTCAAAATGTGTCTGGTACCATGGTTGTTTCTTGAAGAAACATCACCACATCAGCACCATGGCATTTTCATTTTAGTCAACCAAAATCTTATTTGGTTAGGATGATTCGAGTAAAATTGGTTATAGTGTTATACCTTCTTTTACCTTGGGTTATGTGAAAGTAACTATTGGTAGGAACAACCTTTTGAGGTTTCTTGCCCCTAGGGGGTGTTTTCACCTATATTGTCCCATGTGGAGACTACTGACTAATGGTGCATAGCTATATTAAAGAAGAATAAACAAATGTGCACTGGATTATGAGAACAACCAAACTGCTTTTCTGATTTCCAAGGTTGGCTCAAGTACAAACGTTGCCTCATGAAAGGACAATGGTACCAAACATCTCCCTAAGATGCTTATAAATAAAAAAGCTCTAAACAGGTTTAAATGTGGTAGGATGGGAGAGATGAATACCTAGCCGTCCACACAGGCATGGGGAAATGTTAGAACCAACTGCCTGCATTCAAAAAATAGCACAGAGAAAATGTAGGGAACACGATATTTTGTAGTTGATAACTGTAAGAAGAAATATACCAAAATCAAGCACTGAGTAAATCCAAACTCGCATATTATACATTCAAGACAATAAGCTCTTATGATTGAAATAAGATTTGGAAGATTAATAAGTTTAGCAACACAGGTTGTCCTAGACACTTAACAGAAACATACACAGTAAATAAAGATACAGGCTGACCCATGAATTTTGACAATGGTGTCAAGATAACTACCAAAGTAATTGCTTAATCTGAGATACCAGGTAATCCCAACACAACTTTGACCGTGAACTTGAAGTGTAAACCAAAACTAGGGTGAGCATCAGCTGAAAAGCAATTGCTTACTCATTCTCTTTCCTTCTACCCCAAAAATGGATTCTCTTTCCAAATCACCTTTATTTATTTTGGTAAAAAGGTTTAAGCCTAAAACCTAATTAATCCCTGCACACCCAATTGGTTAGTCCCTATTTGCATTGCATTAATCATGATATCACCAACGCACGCATAATATAAATATATAATAACCTTCGAATATATATCGATATTATCCACCATCCAAGCAACAGAAGAACAAGAAATGAAAAGCAGCAGATTAATGGTTATTCCACGTCTTATGTTCATCGAGAATGATCTAATCAAACGAAAGATTCAGTTCAAGCTAAGGACGCTTCCAAGATCACATCTTCGACGAGAATGTCTCATCTCATATAAACTACCTTTGTTGATGATCATGCATTCAAATTCATTGAGAATTAGAAGAAGCTCACTGTCTCAGTCATCCACATTATAGTACTTAAACAACAAAAAATTGAAACTCGGGAAAAACTTAACAAAGAGCGTAGAAAAAAAAGGAAAAGAGAATTTGTTACTTTTTTTTGGGGAGGGTGAGGAGCCCGCGTGGACATCACCGCCCCTTGGAACAAAGAAGGGGCTCTGACCGCGGGCAGTCGTCACAGCGGGACGCGGCCGAGTCTCGGGCGAGGAACCGGGCAGCAGGGAACGGAGCGGACGAACAGAGAGAGAGAGAGATAGTCAAGGAACCCAATGCTACTAAACACCGGCGGAGACGGCGCCGCAGGGGCAACATTTCGATCAGGACGGACTGCTCTCATCTCTCGCTGCCACCGTTCCGGCCATGCCACATCGCTGCAGTGTCTCGCCGTCGAGAGAACGGCCGAACCCCGCTCAGATAAGATCAAGTAGGGATTTCTCTTTCTCCTAGGGTATTCCTCTTATAGCACTAAACAGACCGGACCGGATACCGATTCCATTGCTCGAGAAGTTAAACCGGGGCAGGGGAGCGCCGTTTGGGCTGGGCTGAGACAACGTGCCACGTAAATCACAATAAAGGGTTTCGAGAGGAATTAAAAAGCGCATCGCTGATTTTCATTTTTCAATCAAAACATCATGCAGGCCCAAGGCCCAAAATTGGATAGACCTTCCTGTTTTCTATACGCTCCCGGTGCAAGTTAGAATGTATCGGGAGTTGGGAGTCGGGAAAAACAGTTGCACTTGCACCGTTGCACGTGATTTTCTCCCGCCCAACTGAAAATATATAATAAGTGAAAATCTGAAAAAAAGGAAAAGAAAAAAACATTAACGGAATTTAAAAAAATTCTTGATTTTGTTTATTTTCTTCCCAAGAAAAGGGAAAAAGAAATGATTTTCTACACAGTCCATAGCTGTCGAGACAGACGCTCCTTCGTTTTATAATTCCCTTCTCCATCGTTTCTCGCTCCACAGCTTCCTTCTTCGATGTAGTCGTAAGAAGCTGGAAATTCTTTTCAGTGAATAGGTCTTTTCTGAGAGCCGATTTTTCTATTTATAATGCCCTGTTCTGCATTGCGAACTCGGATTCGATCGTGGCTTCGGGATTACGTCAAGATACAAGCCGTTGCTGTTATTCTCATATACATTCAAGTATGGCTTTGCTTCTGCTTCCCTTTCTGAATTAGGGTTTAGCTTGGTTCTTTTCATTTTATTTTGTATTTTAAAGCAGCTTTTGTCTGAATTCTGGAGACCTAGACCGTTTGGTTGCACTCTTTGTTGCAATTTATGATTGTCTTTGTTGTATGTATTGATCCAGTTTCATTTTCCACTGCAATTAGGGTTCATTTGTTCTTTATTTTGCAGGGTTACATAGTATTAAGTTCTTGTGAAATTTAGTGAATTTGAGATTTTTTCTCTAATATAACTATCGATTTTCGTTTTGACCTGCAATTTGATATCAGTTTTTCCTTTTGTTTTTTCCCTCTGGAGCGGGTATTGAATTTTGGTTGAAACTTAGGTTTTTTTTTTCTGCATCAATTCCCATATAAATGCATTCATTCTATTTGGAAGGTATGGTGTTTAGTTTCTAATTGGAAATTGTTCATTGTTACTTATCGTTGATGTTGGGAATCTTTTTTGTTTTTCCCTGCTTTATATGTTAGATCGCTTGTGCATTGGTGGGATCTCTTGGAGCATTGTACAACGGTGTCTTGCTGATCAATTTGGCGATAGCATTGTTTGCTCTCGTTGCAATAGAGAGTAGCAGTGAGAGCCTTGCTCGGACATACGCCATTCTTCTTTGTTGTGCTATCATCCTTGATATCTTTTGGTTCATCCTTTTCACTCACGAGATATGGTGCGTCCATAGGTTCTTTCAATATGTCTAATGCTTTTTTTGGGGCTTATCACAGTTGCTGACATACTTCTATTTTATCTCCTGTAGCATAAAGTGAAGTCTTTCACTACTGGTTGAATTCCTTAGAATTTAAACGATAGTAAATAGCATCGCCAATTAATCTGGCTTCAGGTCTTTATCGTTATATAGTAGTATGTCGAGCAGATGTGATAGTCAATTTTCCACTGGAAGGGGGTTGAGAATTGAATGGATTTATATATGTTTATACAAAAGGTTTTGATGGTGGTTTCTAGTATCATGGATTCATAGTTCAATAGTGATTATAAGGTGAAGTTAAAATGTCAAGAAATTGATATTTTATACTATTGATTCCCAAACATTGTAGCCATAGTCATCAAGTCATGTAGAATATTCTAGGTGACAATGGAGCCCTAGTCACCTAGGTGTTGCTTGGTTGGTAGAATTTTACAAAGAAAAAAAAAACTAAATTCTAGGCTAATTCCTTAACAACCTAACTTTACTTTACCAATTATCATGGCATATGAATTAAAAATAGCAATTCTCTTTACTAATAATATTAGTTTTCCTCTCAAAACATATAACATCATTGTATCTAGAAGACAATATCATTTTGATTCATTTAATTTCAATATTTCAAACAAAACATTATATTCTGATAAGTATTTAATAGAGCAATTTCACATTAAAAAATATTTTTTTTATCAGAAACGATAACTTTCATTAGAGATAAATTAAACTGAAATACAAAAGTCAACCCTTATTAGAAAAGGTTGATCCAATAAACATCAAACATTACAGCATTGCCCAATAAAGTCTCTCCCTTATAGTCCCTTGTTTTGCTAGGGCATCAACAAAACCATTTGCTGATCTCCTTACCCACTTGAAACAAACACCCACCTCCCTTGTTATGCTAAGAATTTCCCTTATCAGCTGTCTATATTGCCAAATTCCCATCTGCCCTGATTACATCCACCCAATTACCAACTTGGAGTCTCCCTCTATCTCAATTAGCTGCCCTGATTTCTGCTCTTAAGGAATCTCCAACTCCTATTGGACCTGAATACATATCCATTATCTTGGCTCGAGCTTGGCTCGTGAGGCTCGCGATCCGATCTCGAATATATATATATATATATATATATATATATATA